GTGTAGTGGCGGGTTACGAGCGGGTGGTGGTGTGTTGGGTTACGACCGGGTGGTGGTGTGGTGGGTGATGAACGGGTGGTGGTGGTTTGGTGGATGATGAACGGGTGGTGGGTGATGAACGGGTGGTGGTGGTTTGGTGGGTGATGTACGGGTGGTGGTGGTTGTGGTGGGTGATGAGCGGGTGGTGGTGTGGTGGGTTATGAACGGTTGGTGGTTGTAGTGGCGGGTTACGAGCGGGTGGTGGTGTGTTGGGTTACGACCGGGTGGTGGTGTGGTGGGTGATGAACGGGTGGTGGTGTGGTGGGTGATGAACGGGTGGTGGTGTGGTGGGTGATGAGCATGTGATATATTTGGTCAAGTTCTTATTTACCTCAGAGAGTCTACGGTCATTCAACTCCAGCTATCAGACCTGTCTCGAGTGTTCCACATCGTACTTGTTGCTCAAACAGCGTATGTGATCAGCTCGTACCATGTCCTTCCGTAGATCGTTTCAACTCAGAATACCAGATATAACCTTGTCGGTTCGTCGGCTCACTTAACCCTCGTCGTTATCATGACGTGTTGACAACAGCTAAAGTTTACAAAGAAGGGGAAGAAGGGGGCACTTGTGCAACAGTCTATTAATCTTGGTCTGAATACGTCGATTCCAAGCTTAGGTAGGGACTGATGACCTTAGGCTACTACTACTTTTTCACCGTTTTCCTTTCTATTGAACTGATGAAAGCTACTGTGTGACAAATCGTTTATTAAATAAAGATTCGTAAATATTGCACAAGTGACTAATTCTTCAATTTCTCAGTTTTCTAAATCATTTATCGCAAGGTATACAATGTTGACTGACTCAACTCTGCCCTCCCTGTTAATTGGTTCCCGTGTTATATTATCGAGAATATCTTTATTTTTATTTTACCGCTGAACCCGGCCCGAAGCGGTTAGTTTATCGTGCACCTCATATCCACCCTGTGGACGGTAGCGGAAGAGCATATGATATATCGCTCAAGAGATTATTGTACCGCAAGAGCGTACTGATGCACGAAAGGAACTAGGCCCCAAAAGGGGTTAACATCTTTATATTTACAGTTGGTGGTAATCAATACTAACAAGCTGATAAATAAGACTGGTATTTTTATTGCCGAAACGTTTCGCTTGCACAACCGGCAATCAAATACAAGAGAGGTTATAAAATAGGAAAGAATATAAGCGAGGTGGGAATTTTGAGGTGATCAGTTCCATAGCCTTGACAGGTGGTAATCGGTCCCTCATAACCTCTGTTGGTTCCAGCCATCGGGGGCTCATCTCACTACTTAAAATCGCTTATAATCAGGAACTATGTTCCTTATTTACTGCCTCCGGTGTTGCTTCAGTGTTTGCATTGTTCCATAGTGTGTTGTGTCCCGTTCTTCAGTATACAGCTGTATATAACTGTCATAATTACCATTCTCTAATGTTATGTGCTGTTGAACGTAAGGTTGTACATAACTAGAACGATTACTATTGTTCTCTAGTGTATTGTGTGCTGTTGTTGAAGGTAGGGTTGTATACTACTACAGTGATTATTAATGTTCTCTAATGTATTGTGTGTTGGTGAATGAAAACTTGAAGATAGGTGCCACTGCTACTATTGTTTTCTATCTAGTGTTGTGTGGTGTTGATTAACGTAGGGTTGTATAAAACTACCATGATTACTTCGGGGCAGTTTGAATTACCATTTCCTGGAGGCTTCATAATGTCAGGATCCTTACGCTAACACCTTCCTACTCTCCATTTTTCTCTTATTGCCTTGTTGTGGTAATAGTTTCCATGACTCGTCTCTGATTCCTTCTGTGCTTCTCTTCCATTTTTTTGAGAGGGATATTATTATTAAAAAGAACTTAGGTCGGCTTCTCTGTCATGTGTGTGCGTGTTTGTAAGTGATTTTTTTTATTCCTAGGGAGTGAACACGAGCGCGCACACACAAGGCGCAGACATGCACGCACGCACGCGCACGCACGCACGCACACACGCACACGCACACACACACACACACACACACCACACACACACACACACACACACACACACACACTGGTCACCTTAGGGCTACACTGGTCTACACCACTTTTTACTTTTCAAGTGATCCTAGACCCAGCTAGCCATGGCACTTGCCTTGGTCAATATTACCGACTGTGACCCACCTGGCGAGCACGCGCGCCTCCCATCATAAATTCTATGTGGATTTTCCAGACTTTGGCTATTTAGGTTAGATTAGATTCAGCAAGAATAGATTATCTTCTATCATTAAAAATTAGTTATGAAACAAAACAGCACCAACTCCAGGTTAATCCGAAACATTGAAACAAATAATATATGGATAACAAGGCTTCAAGGAAGAATATTTGGATTTCTTCCTGAAGCCACTTGAATATTCCACTTCCCCTACCATCCCATCTTTTTATTACATAATATGGTACAAATGATATAGGAGATACATTGTTGATATAAAGATGGCATATACAGTACATGAGCTGTGAGAGATACATGTCTAGTACATATTGTTACGTGTATGTCACTGATTATAATGCGAAAATCTCGTCCAGCTCCTCAGAGCTGGGGCGCGTGCCCAAGATACAGCAGGCATTATACCTCTGAACTATATATCCTGTAATAAATTCGAATCCTGTAAGCTGCGAGCTTTCTCTGTATATACCCTCTTGTTTCTGCTTGGTGCATTGATATAAAAATCTAAAAGTTAAGACACATGTGCAACATCCGAATATCTTTATTGTAGACGTTTCGCCATCCAGTGGATGGCGAAACGTCTACAATAAAGATATCCGGATGTTGCACATATGTCTTAACTTTTATACTGTCGGTATTTTATACCTTTCTTGCACGATATAAAAATCGCTTGTGATGTCAGAACATACAAGAGGCGAATGAAATAGGTTGATTCCATGCTTAAGGCCCACTGATGTGCCCGGGCTGGGAAGAAACATGACTTGTAAACCAGGCTGCCCAGCTTTTGTGGCTGAGTGGTGAAGAGCGTCACTTGGGAACCTTGCCAGTCTTCCTATAGTGGGTTCGAACCCTGCTGAGTGCGATCTTTGTGTGTGTAAGGGAGAGAAGAGAGAGAAAGAGAGAATTATATTTATGAAAATCAAGGAACATTTTCTCTAGCAATCTCCTAATATTGTCCAAGACTTTTGTCATTATCTTTTATCTTCATGGACGCAGCAGAAAACAATCAGAAAATTCAATGTTGAGAACTTAACAAGAGTTAAGTGTTGAGTTTGTTAATAGCGTCGCCTTATATGTAGCGTGTTTTTGTGCACGTTCTGAATACGTCTCCAGCAGCCAGACGTTCAAGTTTGTGTACATGTGTCCACTCTAGTGGTGTACATGCATCCGCTAGTGGTGTACACGCGTCCACTAGTGGTGTACACGCGTCCCCTCCAGTGGTATACACGCGTCGCCTCCAGTGTACACGCATCCACTCGTGGTGTACACGCGCCCCCTCCAGTGGTCTACACGCCTCCACTCCAGTGGTCTGCACGCCTCCACTCCAGTGGTCTACACGCCTCCACTCCAGTGGTCTACACCCCTCCACTCTAGTGTACACACGTCCACTCTAGTGGTCTACACCCCTCCACTCCAGTGGTCTACACGCCTCCACTCCAGTGACGTACATGACTCACATCCACTAGTAGTGAACACACACCAGTAGTATAATGCACACTCCAGCAGTGTACACATACCCACTCCAGCAGCATACACACATCCACTTCAGCAATGTACACACACTATAGCAGTGTACACACACCCACTCCAGCAGTGTACACACACCCACTCCAGCAGTGTACACCCACCCACTCCAGTATCGTACACACACACACACACACCACTCCAGTATCGTACACACACACACACACACACACACACACACACTCCAGTATCGTACACACACACACACACACACTCCAGTATCGTTACACACACACACACTCCAGTATCGTTACACACACACACTCCAGTATCGTACATACACACACACACTCCAGTATCGTACAAAGAAGCACTTGATTCGTTCTCTTTTATATATACGTATTAAAGCGCTAGAAGAGCTCTATTATTCAGCACTTGCAGCATATACCATTTCTAACATAGTAAAGTTTATACCATCGTTATTACTTTGTTACTGTGCTGAATAATGCATTAAGTTACAAAGCAAGAGTATTTATAATAATTTTTACACTTAAGGTAATTTATATAAATAATTCCTTGTAATTAGTTCTAAGTGTCGGCAAATTTATACAAAAGGGTAAATATCCCCTCCATTTATGCCAAAAGAAATGCTGGGTTCTGGATAAAGTGGCATCGTGTGGAAGGAGTAGGACCTTGTGGGGAGAGTGGCACCCTATGAAGAGTGGGGCAACCCTCCCAAAGAGGTCACTATCTTTAGGTTCAAACCAAGCCATAGCAGTAAGCTGACCCAGAACTTGTAAGTTGTTGACGCTGATGCTGTTGAAAAGCTCTTTATCCAAGAAACTGGAGCTACCCACTCACACAGAATAGGCCTCTAACTCTAGACCAAACCTCTCGACTATCGCTACCGTGATGAGGAGACCCAGTCTCTTAGTTTATTGTACACACCATATCCATCCTGTGGAGGGTAGAACACGGACATAGGGATACACAAAAAGCATAAGAACTAGGCCCCAAACGGGTTAACAGCAGCACTACTGGATTTATATCTACAGTTGACAATTACAAACAATTTTAGGAAATTTGCCTATTATGTCAACTATCTTATTTTCATTAATAAGATATCCTGACATGTCATATAGGTTATTATATTGTATCTCTGTATTCCTGAATAATTGGACAAAGCACAGCGATCTTCCTTGTACTATCGTGTAGTGATCTTTCCTCCTTGTAGACATGTCAAATAATCTTCCTTCTCGCAGCGTCGTCTAATACTTTTTCTCGCAGCGCCGTCTAATAATCTTTCTTCCTCGTTACAGCGTCGTCGCCCATGTCGTCTAGGAACTTCCCACCATCGTTCTGGAACAGCAACTACCAGGTGCCTTCGTCGTCGTCACGACCTCCCAGCCTGGCTGGTCACCTCGGAGCGTCACCAGCAGACCTCTACGACCCTTACCATGGGGGTCTCCACTCCCTCCAGCCCCCTGCCCCAGACCCCTGGGCAGCTTACTCCTTATCCTCTCAGGTATTATTTTTGGTATTACCATGGGGAAGCCCCCATAGGAGTTACATAGCACCTAGGGAATGCAAGATGATCAGGTTTGACCCAAGGGTGATTTATGCCAAGACAATGATCACATGCCTTAATCCCCGTTACTGCTCTTACTCCTTCGGGCCATGACGTGTGCCTGTATGTCAGGTGTTCTTGTAATGTGAGATTATATTTATACTGTCAGTATCTCAGGTGTTCTCTCATTGGTCCTTATAATGTAGGGCTATATTTATACTGTCAGTATACAGTAGTAAATGTGAGACTAATTATCACATGAAAACAAATATTTCAGTCCTCAGTTTCTTCAATAATATTGACAAACTGGCAACCACACATCCCAACAGCAATACAAAAATTTATATAATTAAGATACATCAGCATTTAGAGTATGAAGCTGATCATTGAGAGATATTCTCTCAATTATTGCATTGGTAATCGTCTTAATAAAAATGGCAAATTAAAACATACACATTCCAAAAATCAATGTAAACCTATGAGCAAACTCCACCATTCTGACAACTGGAAGCCAGTCACAAAAGGATTTCTCCACTTATTGCTCGGAATTAATTAATTCAGAGTTTATTAACTATGTCAGTAAATTTGCAAATCTTAATATAAAAGCCTAAACTTATTGGGTTCCATCCTCCTCATAAGATTCATCAGCCATTAAGCCTTTTCAGAAGAGATTGTTCAAGTTATTTAAAGGGAAAAAATACTACACTACTTTTAAAATAACATTTGCAACTTAGTTCCTACACATTCCAATAATAATCTCAACCTTTTAAGTAGAATACACCAATGTTGAAAGTTTGAAGCCGATCCGAAGAGGCTTTCTCAGGTTATCACATGGAAATTAAAATCGGGAATGCTCCACAGAAAACTGATCAGAGGTCACCTGCACATGCCAACAGTTGCATGAACCTTTCCCCAGGAACAATACATTAGAGTTGAAAATTTGAATCTGATCGGATGAGGAGTTCTCAAGGTATAAACGAAAAAAATTGAAAGAAAAAAGCTAGGGAACTGTTAAGAGTGCCGCTTTTGTCTCTTGCAGCATTTACGTGTTATTTTATTAATAGAGAAGCACTAAACCTGTAGGAGAAATTGTAATCCGGTTTAATCCGAAGAGGTGAAGGGTAACTCCAAATTCCGTGGATTAAGAGCGCTTCACCAGTATCAAGGTAGCTCCCTGGGTGGGATGGGGGGAGAGAAACTTGAATCTTGATGCTCCCTTATGGAGCCTGCCCGAATGTCAGTTGTGGTGAGAGTTGGTGTTTGGTGAAGTTTGTATTAAGATAGGTGGGAGTAGTGGTTAAGTAGGTGGGAGTAGTGGTTAAGTAGGTGGGAGTAGTGGTTAAGTAGGTGGGAGTAGTGGTTAAGTAGGTGGGAGTAGTGGTTAAGTAGGTGGGAGTAGTGGTTAAGTAGGTGGGAGTAGTGGTTAAGTAGGTGGGAGTAGTGGTTAGGTATGTGGGAGTAGTGGTTAGGTTCGGTGGGAGCAGTGGTAAAGCAGGTGGGAGCAGCGGTAAGGTAGGTGGGAGCAGTGGTAATATTTATTTCTACATGTACAAGGTATACAGGCCTAGGTGACATCAATGACATACTATTATATAGAAAGCCATTTGTTATGCAGAACATTTAAGGCAAATTAGGTCAGTTTTGTCCCAGGATGCGATCCACACCAGCCGATTAACACCCAGGTACCCATTTTACTGATGGGTGAACAGGGACAAGTGTAAGGAAACACGCTCAACGTTTCCACCCTTGCCAGGAATCGAGCCACGGATCCTCAGCATGTTAAGCGAGAGCTTTGCCTATCAGGCCACGGGCCTGGTTGGTGGGAGTAGTGTAAGGCAGATGGGAGTGGTGTAGGGAAGGTGGAAGCAGCGGTAAGGCAGGTGAGAGCAGCGGTAAGGCACAGGTGGGAGCAGCGGTAAGGCACAGGTGGGAGCAGCGGTAAGGCACAGGTGGGAGCAGCGGTAAGGCACAGGTGGGAGCAGCGGTAAGGCACAGGTGGGAGCAGCGGTAAGGCATAGGTGGGACCAGCGGGTAAGGCATAGGTGGGACCAGCGGTAAGGCAGGTGGGAGCAGTGGTAAGGCAGGTGGGAGCAGTGGTACGGCAGATGGAAGCAGTGGTAAGGCAGGTGGGAACAGTGATAAGGCAGGTGGGAGCAGTGGTAAGGCAGGTTGGAGCAGTGGTAAGGCAGGTGGGAGCAGTGGTAAGACACAGGTGGGAGCAGCGGTAAGGCAGGTGGGAGCAGTGGTAAGGCAGGTGGGAGGAGTGGTAAGGCACGTGGGAGCAGTGGAAAGGTAGATAGGAGCAGTGGTAAGGCAGATGGGAGCAGTGGTAAGATGCAGGTGGGAGCAGCGGTAAGGCAGGTGGGAGCAGTGATAAGGCAGGTAGGAGCAGTGGCAAGGCAGGTGGGAGCAGTGGTAAGGCAGGTGGGAGCAGCGGTAAGGCAGGTGGGAGCAGTGGTAATACACAGGTGGGAGCAGCGGTAAGGCAGGCGGGAGCAGTGGTAAGGCAGGTGGGAGCAGTGATAAGGCAGGTAGGAGCAGTGGCAAGGCAGGTGGGAGCAGTGGTAAGGCAGGTGAGAGCAGCGGTAAGGCAGGTGGGAGCAGTGGTAATACACAGGTGGGAGCAGCGGTAAGGCAGGTGGGAGCAGTGGTAAGGCAGGTGGCAGTGGTCACTTGTTCTCTTAGATTATTCTTGCTTTTTGTGAAGTTATTATTATGGACCAAACATGGTCTAATGCGAAAGTTAAGTCGGCCATTCTTGCAGGTTCAGTCATATAGAATATTGCCAGGCATCAGTACATGCTCCTTAACAGCCCTGAGACTTCGGGGTCATCTGATTGACATAGGTTATGATTATTATATTTCTGATATGGAGTTTGTGTTGTTTGCTTGTGTGTGTGTAAACTGCAACCCTCCCTATAGAGCAATATTCGTTTACACCGAAAATAACGAGGAAAATTTCCATTTTCTATATATTGGTATATTCGACAGTGGGATTATAAAAATTAGTGTTATACTCGCCAGAATAACAGTTGAGATATTACTTATCACGCCTATGTTGTGGCCTTACACAGTGTGCCATAATGTTCCGTAATAGATGGATTGGTAAAACAGGCTACTCATGATCTTGCTCTTCTCTATGTAAACTAATAGTAACCCTGATAAAAAAAAAAAAAAAGCACAAGGGATGTGCGAGTTTGGCAGTAGAGTTGTAGATGAGTGGAACCAATTCCCAGGTAGTGTCACTGAGGTAAGAACCTTAGGTGGCTTTAATTAAACATAGGTTGGACAGGTATATTGCTGGGTGTGGGTAGATGTGAGTTGGACCTGCTAGCATGGGTTCAAACCCTACTGCAGTATTCCCTTCATTTTCATGTTCTTGTTTTTCTCATCAATGCCATGGGGCCCCTCCCTTTATATATTATATTATATATATATATATATTATTATATAATATATATATATATATATATATTTTTATTTTATATATATTTTATATATAATATATAAAGTCATCAGATGGACACGAGTCCGCAGAAAGGTTGTAGCCACCACCAACACAATATTAACCACCATTACAACCATATTAACCACTATTATCAGCCACACTGACAAGCACGTCCTCTTGCAGGCGTACGGTCACCGGAGCGTGGCGCACGACGTGTACCAAGCAGCCATGTCGTCAGTGCCTTCGTCGTCTCGTCCCTACCACCAGTACTCCTCACTCTCCCTCCAACCTCACCTGGCCAGACTTCCCTCTGTAGGCTCACAAGTAAGTCACCTAAACTAGGCTAGGGACGCAATATAAAAAAAATGTACAGTGGTACCTTTGTATTCGGATGCACATTTATTAGTAAAATCGAGTACATGTATTTGGAAAAAATCGAGGAAAAAAAGTATCGATATTCGCAAGTCACTATATTAGGAACAACGCATGTTTTTTTTGAGCTCTTGTGACTCAATATTTTTTTGTATAACTGTGTCAATTTTATTTTATTATTGAAAATAAGTGATCATGGCCTCAAATAAGATTAGTGAAGAAAAAACCTAAAAGGACAGCTGTAAGAACCACCACTGAACTAAAAATGGAACTTATTTCAAAACATAGAAATGGAATAAGTCTTCTTAACGTAGCCAAGGAAAATTGTATGTCAACATTAACCGTATTTTCTGTTATAAAAAATAAAGGCTCAATAAAAAGTGCTGATGTGGTAACAGGAGTTAAAATAAGTCTTGCAGGGTTCATGTATGATTTCTTGCTTGTACTGTTATTTTACAAGTTCAATTAACTTAAAAACGGTTTGTGAAGAGTAACTTTCGGGGTCTGGAACGAATTAATCTAATTTACATTATTCCCTACGGAAAAAATTGATCCAGTATTCAGAACTCTCTCAGGAACCAATTAATTCCGAATACAGAGGTTCTACTGTATCTTGATTTTCAGAGTACCAACTTAATGTTAAAAAGACCCATTATACAGTTTGGCATTTTTGTCAGATACTTCGACAAGGGACTTTATCAATTCTCACAGCCTACTTTATAAGAAGCTGTTAGCATCAATATCGTAATAGCCTTTTTATATATAATATATATATTATATATATATAATATATATATATATATATATAATATATATTATATATAGTTTATATAATAATGTCGTGCCGAATATGAAAACTGGTCAAATTTGCAAGAACTCATTTAAAATTAAGTCCCTTTTTAAAATTTTCTCTTATACGTTTAAAGATATATTTTTTTCATTAATGTTGATGTAAAAATTTATAATTTTGCACCAAAAGGAACTTAGAAAACTTACCTAACCTTATTATAACAAGAACAATTTGTTTTAGCCTAACCCAACTAAATATATTTTAAATACATTTACAATAATTTAGTACTAAACAGACACAATCAAATATATTTTTTTCGTTAGGTTCAGAATGACTTTTGCGAAATTATTGCATACACAAATTTTCACTTGTCCTATATGGCAAGATGAGCATTGCTATTTAAGCCAAGATCGCAAGTTCTGCCTATTCGGCACGACATTATGTATATATATACAGTGGACCCTCGACCAGCGATGGCATCGATTAACGATAAATCTGACTAGCGATACATTTTATCACAAAAATTTTGCCTCGATTAGCGCTAAAAAACTCGACCAACACTATTCCTTCCGTCTGAGACGCGTCCACTTCTGGCCAGTGTTTACAAGCCAGCCAGCCACCGCGGTCGCTTCCAAGCATACAATCGGAACATTTCATATTATCACAGCCTTTTTAGCGATTGCACCTGCAAAATAAGTCACCATGGGCCCCAAGAAAGCTTCTAGTGCCAACCCTACAGCAAAAAGGGTGAGAATTACTATGGATATGAAGAAAGAGATCATTGCTAAGTATGAAAGTGGAGTGCATGTCTCCGAGCTGGCCAGGCTGTACACAAAACCCCAATCAACCATCGCTACTATTGTGGCCAAGAAAACGGCAATCAAGGAAGCTGTTCTTGCCAAAGGTGCAACTATGTTTTCGAAACTGAGATCGCAAGTGATAGATGATGTTGAGAGACTGTTATTGGTATGGATAAACGAAAAACAGATAGCAGGAGATAGCATCTCTCAAGCGATCATATGTGAAAAGGCTAGGAAGTTGCATGACGATTTAATTAGAAAAATGCCAGCAACTAGTGGTGATGTGAGTGAATTTAAGGCCAGCAAAGGTTGGTTTGAGAGATTTAAGAATCGTAGTGGCATACATAGTGTGATAAGGCATGGTGAGGCTGCCAGTTCGGACAAAAAGCAGCTGAAAAATATGTGCAGGAATTCAAGGAGTACATAGACAGTGAAGGACTGAAACCTGAACAAGTGTTTAATGGTGACACCGACAATGTTGTGAAACACGTTAAGAATGTCATAAAGGAACGGGAGGTACAGGCCTCTATGGGCAGATATGTTGTGCGACAGAGGTCCAGTGACTCTCAAGCTGGTCCTAGTGGCATTAAAAGAAGGGAAGTAACCCCGAAAAAGGACTTGCCACCTCAAGTCCTAATGGAAGGGGATTCCCCTTCTAAACACTAAGACCATCAACACACTCCCCTCTTCCCATCCCATCAATCATCACCAGATCTTCAATAAAGGTAAGTGTCATGTAACTGTGCATGTCTTCTTCAGTTTGTGTGTATTAAAATTAATATTTCATATTTTTTCATATTTTTTTTTCAATACTTTTGGGTGTCTTGCACGGATTAATTTGATTTCCATTATTTCTTATGGGGAAAATTAACTTGACTAACGATGAGCTCTCAGGAACGGATTAATAGCGTTAGTCGAGGGTCCACTGTATATATAAGGCTGCCGCTATTGTAACACTGATATTCTTGTATAATAAGTTCATATTTTAATAACCGAGATACATTTTCTTACCAGACTTATCCATAAAGATTGCCTCAGAGTTACGTTGGCTCTGAATTAATGTTAAAAATGAATGGTTTTCTTAATTTGTTAAAATTTTCCATCCTTAAATTAACTATAGGTTGGCAGAAAACAACCATCCATGGAGGTACTACCGTCCTATCAAATGTGTAAAACATTTTTTTTCACTCTTGTAGGATTGCTGATCTCTCTTCTGTCTCATAAACTCGTATAACTGGTACGGTAAATCTTATAAACTCCTCCTTACATTCGGTATGCATTTACCTTTACCCTTCTATGCGCTTCTTAACAGATCTTTATCCTGTACTATTTTCTTTCCAACCTAGGCGGCCTGGTCTGAGACTGGGTGGGACCTTGGGAAGACAATTCCAAGAATCACTAGTTATTTTATGTGTATTGGTGTATGAAGTACTTTCATCGGATTTGATGTGTTTACTGAAAATATCTGATACTCTGGAAAACGCATTTCTCTTTAGATTTAAAAAAAAAAATACACAAATACACACATTGTATAGTATATAAAAAATACCAGTGAAAATAGCAAATAAAATGTGTTTAGGCTAGGTTGTGCTAGGCTAAGGTAGGTTATGGTAACAACTATACTCGTGTTTACAGATGGGGATGAGTAAACCTGAGAGCTGGGGAGCGAGATACCATGAAGCCTTCACTAGTCCAGAGTTCTCACACACCCTCGACACAAACTACTCAACACCTCACTACCCCAACGTACCAGGTGAGTCCCACAACGTCCCAGACGAGTCCACCACTTGTAATAAAAATTCAAAAGCAAGTAGTAGGGAAAGATGACAGGAGACACGGACGTGTTCGTTTGCACTTGTCATGGATTGGTTGATATTTTTTTACTATTCTCATTATTATCCCCATCAAGGGAGGTTCCTTGATCCTTACCAGGGCTTCTTGGCCGAAGGCAGCTGTTCTTAGTGGGGAGCCTCGACCTCCATAGGAGAATGCGAGTGATTTCCAGGGGAGAGAGAGAGAGAGGGGGGGGCATAACCCAGAAGCAGTCGTGCCAAATATGTAAAACTGGTCAATTAGCAAGAACTCGTTAAAAATTAAGTCCTTTCTAAATTTTTCTCTTATACATTTAAATATATATATTTTTTCATTTATGTTAATTAATTAATGTAAAAATTAAGAATTTGAACCAAAAGAACCATAGAAAACTTACCTAACCTTATTATAACAAGCGCAATTTAATTTAGCTAAAACCAACTAATTTTAGACAAGTTTACAATAATTTAATAATAAACACACACAATGAAATATATTTTTTTCGTTAGGTTCAGAATGATTTTTGCGAAATTGTTGCATACACAAATTTTCGTTTGCCTTATATGGCAAGAAGAGCGTTGGTATTTAAGCCAAAATCGCAATTTTTACCTATATGGCACAATATATATATATATAAAGTTATGTACAATTCATTCATATACGTATGAATTTTGAGATAACATTTGTGCTTCTTTGCAGGTTTGGAGAGCGGGGTGCCACAGGAGGGTGCAAAGGACCTCTACTGGTTTTAAGGATCACCTGAATGTTAGAAGTGTAAATTATTCTGCCGCGTTGTCTGCATTGGCTGCTTGAACCACGTCAAAAAACGTTATCCTTGCATCAGAATGTTGCAGTACTTGGCAGAGCACGTGATAGTGTTTGCCTGAAACTGTGTGGATACAAAAGACATGTAAATGACTTCGGTGTTAAGTCACCAATGTTCCTATGGAGATGGCTGAACTTCTTACTCGAGGCTTGACCATGGTAGTGCAAGACTATAAAAAGAAAACTTTCAGTGAGCTTAAGCAATGCAGCTTTATCAAAATGGCTAACTCGAGTCTTGTGCCAGCAGTGTAGCCTCGTCAGGAAATTGTAATAAGCTCGAGCAGTGTAGCCTCGTCAGGATGACTGGAGTCTTGTGCCAAGGGGCAAAAATGAACCTCATTTTCTTGCCAAGTGATCAGTAAGGCAATCACACAAAGGTGCTATATGGTGTCAAATATGCAACTATTGCGATAGTTCTAATGTATTTTTGTTCAACTATGAATGTACAAACTGGAATTTTTATTCAACTGCTAATGCTTTAATATATTTTAGGTTAATTGTACAGTTTTGTTCTTATTTGCGATATTAATAGTTGTACTCTTTAGTTTGGCTGACTAGCTAAGTGCAAGTATGTCTTCTGCATAATCACCACTCCTGCCTGTGTTGTCTCTTCCACCAGTGTTGATGCCCTGACCTCTGGTCACTCCTAGTGCTTGTGTTAGTCTCTTCCAGTGTTGCTGCTCTTACCTATGGTCACTCCCACTGTGTTGTCACTCACTAGTGTTGTGACTTCTGTTACTTAAGCCATCAGTACTAGTATTTTATTCAAGGGGAACTGTTAAATCCGTAAGTGTCATATACCTGGGGAATGGGAAGCAATCCTGCTTGGTTCGAGGAAAAGGGTAGCTCAGATTTCTTGGATCAAGAGCCCTTTATCGGAATCAGTGAACTCCGCTGAAGGGTCATAATATATATTTTCTGATTCTACCAAGGAAGCTTTCTTGCCATCGGTACCTCCTCTGGAGCCTAAATGAACCCGGTCTTCCCTTCACGGTGCCTTCATACCGATGACGGGCTCTTGATCCAAGAAAACGGAACTTTCCTTCCTTTGGATCGAGCCTGATCCAGTCTCCATAGGCGTTGTAAGACCCCTATGGGTTTAGCGCTTCTCTGTGATTAAAACTAACCTGACCTGAGAGTGGCCTTGCACTGAGCGTCGCCATCTTTGTTTCATTAACACTAGTGTAACCAACCAAGACAACAGACATATCATTTACTAATAAGAGATGGGGAAACAAGCAGCCTAAGTTAGCTACGAGGTACATAACATATGTATCACCTACTGCATATGTACGATGTAACATGTATCACATGCTACATATATGTAACGTGTCACGTACTGCACACGTACGTGTCACGTACTGCACACGTACCGTGTCACGTACTGCACACGTAACGTGTCACGTACTGCACAAGTAACGTGTCACGTACTGCACACGTAACGTGTCACGTACTGCACACGTAACGTGTCACGTACTGCACACGTAACGTGTCACGTACTGCACACATAACGTGTCACGTATTGCATACGTAACGTGTCACGTATTGCATACGTAACGTGTCACGTACTGCACATGTATGATGTAATATGTATCACGTGCTACATATATAACATCACTTACTGCATATGTACCATATGTCACATACTATGTATATGCATGATGTAACATGTACCACATACTACATATGTATGATGTAACATATCACATATTACATTTGCATGATGTAACATGTACTGCATATGTAACATGTATCACGTACTACATATGTAATATGTATCACGTAATACGTAAGTAAATGTATCACGTAATACATATGCAAATGTATCACGTAATACATATGAAAATGTATCACGTAATACATATGCAAATGTATCACGTAATACATATGCAAATGTATCACGTAATACATATGTAACATGTATCTGGGAATTCTCATTAACTAATATTTATTGACATTAACACATTCTTTTAATTTATTTATTACGTTATGTTAAGATAGAATTCCTACGGTATATGAAACGTGAATGCGTGAAATGTGTCGTTAACCAGGTTCAAGTGTCATTAACCAGGTTCAACCTGAACAGTGTGAATAGTTTCCATGTTATTGTTTCTCCATTTGAAGGCTTACTGCTATTACATTCATGGGGAAGAGCTAAAATTGTATGGGTTATACAACACTTGGGGCAACTGGGGGGGGGACACTCAGGGTTTGATCCGACAGCTCTTCACAGGCATCAAGGGAACTCTGTCCCTGAAGAGTGTACTATATGGGAAGTGTAGTCAGTGAAGTTGGATGGGTAAGATTTTGTTCGGATCTTTAACCCCGGAGGGCTAGCCACCGAGGAATAACCCAAGAAAGGCAGTGCGTCATCGAGGGACTTATTTATATGGGGGTCCTCAGTCTTGTCAGCGACCCACACCAGTCGACTAACACCCAGGTACCTACTTGTTTGCTACAATGGAACAGGTGTACGGGAACACGCCCAATGTTTTCATCTTTACCGTGGACACAGCGTGTGTAGAGAGAGCGTTCCTTACCAGGATATGGGCCACCTGAGATTAATTAGGTTTGAAGCCTGTGACCTACAGGAAGGACCTTAAGACTGTATGACACCTGTTCATAGCCAGTCAAGAATCTTTCATCCCTAAAATGGGGATTAAAGCGAACTCTCAGCCCATATACACTTGAGACATACACTTTGCGATGTGTATATACAGTGTCAGTGAATGAAGGAAATTATTGGTTTATGACATTTATACTGGCCGCTGTTTTCTCCAGCGCTCACTCCCTCTCAATATCGTGCCGTTAAAAAAAAAAGCTAAACTCAAGGAATATTACGATGGTACTTATTATCAGTGTGTGGTTACGACAATATATCAAAATTTACCATGTTAACAGAGATTCACCTACATTAAGTAAAACGTATAAAATGGACCGTGGTAATTTATATCACAGAAATGTGGCGTAGTTTCATGTCATGTTCTACGGTGGCTAGGATTGAAAATCAGTGCGTTTTTCCTACACGATTTCTTCCAATGCCGATGACATCATTTTATGAATTATTATACTCAAAAAGAGCACTGAACCTACAAGGGTCATACAGCGCCACAATTTATGGATAAATTACATTTCGTGTAGAAAATGACGTTTACATAACTTAATCTAGCCTGAACATTTTATTTTCATGGGGAAGAGCTAAACGTTAGTTACACAGCACCTGAAGAACAGGAGGTAATTAGGTTTGATCCGGGGAAAGGGAGTATAGCCCTTCATCAATTCAGGGTTTCTTGAACCGTAGACAACAGTTAAAAATTAGTCTTGTGGTAGGAAAGACGGCGCAGAAACAGCCTAGCAGTGAAAAGATTTCGTGTAACATATTCCTTCAAATTTGTAAATTTAAGCTTGCCCTAATATGAATGTGGTATTGTACTGAGGAGCTCATGTTAAAATGTGAAACTGAGTGCATGTATCATGTATTATAAGAATTATCAAGAGCCAACAGAATCACATCAAAACGAACAGTAAGAATCACATCATGAGAGAGCAGGAAGAAAGGTGGGTGTAAGCAGGGAGGTGAGGTGCTGCCTGTATCAGCAGGGTGGTGAGGTGCTGCCTGTATCAGCAGGGTGGTGAGGTGCTGCTTGTATCAGCAGGGTGGTGAGGTGCTGCTTGTATCAGCAGGGTAGCGAGGTGCTGCTTGTATCAGCAGGGTAGTGAGTTGCTGCTTGTATCAGCAAGGTGGTGAGTTGCTGCTTGTATCAGCAAGGTGGTGAGTTGCTGCTTGTATCAGCAGGGTGGTGAGTTGCTGCTTGTATCAGCAAGGTGGTGAGTTGCTGCTTGTATCAGCAGGGTGGTGAGTTGCTGCTTGTATCAGCAAGGTGGTGAGGGGTTGCTTGTATCAGCAGGGTGGCGAGTTGCTGCTTGTATCAGCAAGGTAGAGAGGTGCTGCTTGTATCAGCAAGGTGGAGAGGTGCTGCTTGTATCAGCAGGGTGGTGAGGTGCTGTTTGTATCAACAGGGAGGTGGTGAGGTGCTGCTTGTATCAGCAGGGTGGTGAGGTGCTGCTTGTATCATCAGGGTGATGGTGTGCTGCTACTTGTATCAGCTGGGTGGGGAGGTGCTGCTTGTATCAGCAGGGTGGAGAGGTGCTGCTTGTATCAGCAGGGTGAAGAGGGGCTGCTTGTATCAGCAGGGTGGAGAGGTGCTGCTTGTATCAGCAGGGTGGAGAGGTTCTGCTTGTATCAGCAGGGTGGTGAGGTGCTGCTTGTATCAGCAGGGTGGTGAGGTGCTGCTTGTATCATCAGGGTGATGGTGTGCTGCTACTTGTATCAGCTGGGTGGGGAGGTGCTGCTTGTATCAGCAGGGTGGAGAGGTGCTGCTTGTATCAGCAGGGTGAAGAGGGGCTGCTTGTATCAGCAGGGTGGAGAGGTGCTGCTTGTATCAGCAGGGTGGAGAGGTTCTGCTTGTATCAGCAGGGTGGTGAGGTGCTGCTTGTATCAGCAGGGTGGTGAGGCACTGCTTGTATCAGCAGGGTGGTGAGGCACTGCTTGTATCAGCAGGGTGGTGAGGCACTGCTTGTATCAAGCAGTGGAGACAGTAACAGCTTGGAAGCTGCAACATGACATGTCTTAATGAAGAAGTGCCAGCACACTGAAGAGTGCCACAAGTGCCGCAAGTACCGCCTATGGTGGGAATCCAAGCCAGCCATCAGGATATGGACCTGGCATGGGCGTCACCCTAAACACTTACATATACATATCATGGGGAAGCGCTAAACCTCTAGGGCGTCATACAGCATCCGGGGATTGGGAGATAATCAGGTTAAAGAAAAGGTTAGCTCCATTTCCTGGTATCAAGAGCCCTTCACCAGCTCCTGGAAGGGGTAATATATATACGTCACACCATTAGGAATCTGTGTGATAATTTTCATGTAATCAAACATTTTATGTTGACTTTGGAAGCATAAGTTTTTTTTGGTCAGCAAAGTTGGAAATAAATCTTGTTTCTTAAAGGACTTTATATTACATGTTTTTAAAACTATTTTCCTAATTATAAGCCGAACTTGCCGAATAGGCGGAACTCCCTTAAAATTAAACTTTTTCTAAAAAATTCTTTAACAGTATGATAGCTATTTTTTCATTGACAATGATATAAAGATTTTTATTTTTGGACTTAAACTTAGAAACCTTATTTCAACCAGCGTATTTTTTTTTTAGCTATCTTCTATGTATAGCACAGTTCACTTTAAATTGATTTAATACTGAAATAAATGATACATATTTTTTCATTATGCTCAGATCGATTTTCATTTTGCTAATTCGGCACAGTGAACGCTTGCTAAATAGGCTAAACTTGGCGGTTCGGCTTAATCGGCACAACATATACTATATTGCAAAACAAGCCACGTGGGGATGAAAACCTTTAGATCAGGATCTTTCGTACTCTCGTGCTTCATCAGAGGAATAACAAAAAAGGCACAATACCGTGACTGGAACGATACACAAATAACCCGCACATAAAAGAGAGAAAGTGGTCGATCTCTTTCTGACAGACTTAGGGAGCACAAAAATAGTGTTAGGCTTGCCAACACTAACAATGCTCTTTTCTGTCACGTCAGAGATCATAGCCATAGCCAGTGGCACTAATTGACAAGGACAGTAATAAGTTTAGTGGAATAACAGAAAGGAGCAGGAAGGGTAAAGAGAGTGGAGGGTCCTTAAGTATATATTACACAAATAGTCGCAGTGCTAGGAATAAGATGGACGAGTTGAGACTAGTTGCTAGTGCAGGTAACATAGATGTATTTGCCATTACTGAGACGTGGTTTAACTCAAAAAGTCGGGACATGCTTGCAGAATGTCACATTCAGGGTTTTAAATTGTTCCAAGTAGATAGAAGTATCGGGAAGGGGGGTGGGGTGGCATGTATGTCCGAGATCGCTTGAACTGTTGCATAAAAAACGGGTATTAAGTCTGAAGTAACACATACAGAGTCTGTTTGGATAGAATTTTCAGAGGGGCATGAAAAATTAATTTTAGGTGTGATATACCGTCCCCCAAACTTAGATAGGGACCAAGGAGACAACTATGGGAGGAAATTGTTAGGGCACAAGGCACGATAATGTAGTAATTCTAGGAGACTAACTTTAGTCATATTGATTGGAATTTCTTGACTGGGAATTTAGAATCATACGATTTCTTAGAAGTAGTTTCAGGATTGTTTTTTGAAGCAGTTTGTGACAGAACCTACAAGGGGAAATAACCTGCTTGACTTAGTTCTGGCAAACAATGAATCCCTTGTTAATAATTTAGAAGTTTCAGAGGAACTGGGTGCTAGCGACCACAAATCAATTACATTTAGAATGAATGGAAGTATGATAGTAGGGAAAACTCAGTAACAGTCCCAGATTTTCGCTTAGCAGATTACGATGGGCTTAGAGAACACTTATCATCTGTTGACTGGGGTAACGAAGAGAGCTATCAATATGACAGTTTTCTGAACACAATACATGCTGCTCAAAGAACGTTTATCCCTTATAAGGAAATTAGATCAAATAGAAAATGACCCAAAATGGATGAATAATAGCTGAAATATCTACTAGGGCATAAGAAAGGAATTTATAGGCGTATCAAAAGAGGCGAGGTCATCTTATGAATCGTATATGACATTAAGAGGGACATTAAAAAGGGGATAAGAAAAGCTAAAAGGGACTATGAAATTAAAGTTGCTAGGGATTCTAAAACTAATCCAAAAAGTTTTTTCCAGGTATATAGAACAAAAGTCAGAGATAAGATAGGTCCCCTAAAAATAACTATGGGCATCTTACTGACAAAGAGAATGAAATGTGCTCGATTTTAAATAATTATTTTCTCTCGGTTTTTACACAGGAAGTACACTAATAATATTCCGGTAATTAATTTTTATAGTGGATCAGAAGAAGATAAATTATGTAACACCATAGTCACTAGTGAAATGGTTGTGAAGCAGATAGACCGACTGAAGCAAAATAAGTCACCGGGTCCTGATGAGGTTTTTTCAAGGGTTCTTAAGGAATGCAAAATGGAAGTCTGTGAACCATTAACTAATATTTTTAATTTATCTCTTCAAACAGGTGTAGTGTCTGATATGTGGAAGATGGCTAATGTAATTCCTATTTTTAAAGCAGGGGACAAGTCGTTACCGTCAAATTACCGCCCAATAAGCCTGACCTCAATGTAGGCAAGTTGCTAGAGTCAATTATAGCTGAGATTATAAGAAGCCATCTCGATAAGCATAGCTTGATTAATGATACTCTGCATGGATTCACAAGAGGCCGGTCTTGTCTAACTAATTTATTAACTTTCTTCAGTAAAGCTTTTGAGGCTGTTGACCACGATAAAGAATTTGATATTGTTTACTTAGATTTTAGTAAGGCATTTGATAGAGTTCCGCACCAAAGACTGTTGAAGAAAGTAGCAGCTCATGGCATTGGGGAAGGTGCTCTCTCGTGGATCGAGTCATGGCTCACAGACAGGAAGCAGAGAGTGTCCATAAATGGGGTTAATCCGAGTGGGATCAGTAACAAGTGGCGTTCCACAGGGATCAGTCTTGGGCCGTTGTTGTTTATAATATATATCAATGATCTTGATGAAGGAATTGCTAGTGATATGAGCAAATTCGCCGATGACACGAAGATAGGTAGGATAATTGATTCAAACGTAGATGTTAGGGAACTTCAGGAGGATTTAGACAAACTCTACTCTTGGTCAGAAAAGTGGCAGATGCAGTTCAATGTAGATAAATGCAAGGTTCTGAAGCTCGGGAGTGTCCATAACCCTAGCACTTATAAGTTAAATAATGTAGAACTTAACCATACAGATTGCGAAAAGGACTTGGGGGTTATGGTAAGCAGCAACCTTAAACCAAGACAGCAATGCCTAAGCGTACGTAATAAGGCAAATAGATTACTGGGATTTATATCAAGAAGTGTAAGCAACAGAAGTCCAGAGGTCATACTGCAGCTTTATACATCATTAGTAAGGCCTCACCTAGATTATGCAGCTCAGTTCTGGTCTCCATATTACAGAATGGACATAAATTCGTTAGAAAACATTCAGCGTAGGATGACTAAATATTACATAGCATTAGAAATCTTCCTTATGAAGAAAGATTGAAGACTCTTAAGTTACATTCACTTGTTAGACGAAGAATGAGGGGAGACCTGATCGAAGTGTATAAGTGGAAGATAGGTATTAATAAGGGGATATTAACAAGGTCTTGAGGATATCTCTCCAAGAGAGAACCCGCAGTAATGGATTTAAATTAGATAAGTTTAGATTTAGAAAGGACATAGGAAAGTATTGGTTTGGAATAGGGTAGTAGATGAGTGGAACAGTCTACCTAGTTGGGTTATTGAGGCTAGGACTTTGGGTAGTTTCAAATTTAGGTTGGATAAATACATGAGTGGGATGGGTTGGATTTGATTGGGACTTGCACATCAGAGCTTATTTCTTGGGTAGCATTGAAAATTGGGTAGGTCAAATGTTTGTTAGTGGGATGAATTGTAAAGGACCTGCCTAGTATGGGCCAACAGGCCTGCTGCAGTGTTCCTCCTTTCTTATGTTCTTATGTTCTTGACTGGTCTTCTGCTAAAACTGTGTTCCCTACTTCCAACTCGAACAGTCGCCGTCTAGTTGAATCCTCTCTAATACACAACTTTCCTTGTATGAACCTTAGCCCTGGCTTCGTCTCTGTAGATGCCTTCCTCTCCCACTACATTGTAAAATGCTGTGCAAGAAAGGTATAAAATACCGACAATATGAAAGTTAAGACACATGTGCAACATCTGGATATCTTTATTGTAGACGTTTCGCCATCCAGTGGCTTTATCAATACAGATTCTAGGGCATAATAGGAAGACAGTAGAACTATATACAAAAGATGAGGTAATCAGTCCCTCGGCCTAGGAGTTAGTGTTCACAGCATCGTGGTGGAGGAGAATCTACAAGACTTCTTCACGGCTGCTGCAACTAACCCATCTCTTTGGGAAGGACCTACTTCCACTGGGAATCCCGCCTACCAGTGACTGCCCTCGTCTGCTGCCCGTCCCTTCCACTGACGCCTATTTAAACGCCAGTCTTCTTGCCTTTGCTCCAGATTCTCCTCCACCACGATGCTGTGAACACTAACTCCTAGGCCGAGGGACTGATTACCTCATCTTTTGTATATAGTTCTACTGTCTTCCTATTATGTCCTAGAATCTGTATTGATAAAGCCACTGGATGGCGAAACGTCTACAATAAAGATATCCAGATGTTGCACATGTGTCTTAACTTTCACATTGTAAAATGCTCCAAACTTCAGAACACCCGTGACTTAACCTGATTCCTCATTTTTTCTTTTTCTTTTTCTTCTTCTTCCTCTTCCCCTTTCCTCTTTCCTTTTCTCCTCTGGGTTGTCTTTCTCTCTCCTGTCTCGTGTTTCTGTTCCTTCTTCATTTATTTCACCACTTCCCTTTCACGCACCTCTGTGCGCTTGCTCTCCCTCTGTGGGCATCTAGCTCTCTTGCAGTGCTCCCTTCCTTTGTATTTGACTGGCTCGTCCTTTTTATTTCCCACTTCTACCACTACTACTACCTCTTCTTCTTCTACTACTACTACAACTACTGATGAAATTAAGACACATGTGCGGCGTCTGGTTGTCTTTGTTGTGGACGTTTCGTCATCCAGTGGCTGGCTGGATGGCGAAACGTCTATGATGGGGATGCCCGGGTGTTGTGCATGTGTCTTAATTTCATCTTGTCGGTATTATATACAACTCTTGTACTACTACTACTACTACTACTACCACCACCTCTTCCTGCCTATATATAGCCGTCCTGCTCCACCTCTGGTTAGTGTGACTTTGTCAATGGTCCAAGTCGGACCGAAACGTCGTCGTAAGCTTCTCTCTTTTATGTGCGGGTTATTTGTGTATTCATCAGAGGATATGCAATGCTGTAAGACTTGCAACATACAGGTTAAGGAATTCTCTTAGAGGCAAGGTAGGTGTGTGTCAGCGTCGGCCCACACCGCACACCAACTCACCTGTGTGGGCCGACGCCTCTGAGGATTTTTTTTTCCTTTTTCTATTAGTTACAGGTACTGCAACACTGTATAGCTCCCGATAAAGCTCCACGAAAGATATTGAGACAGATTTCTATCCCCACGTAGCTTGTTTTGTATTGTTGAGATCGCCCGTTGGCGTTTGTATTGTACATACACACACACACACATATATATATATATATATATATATATATATATATATATATAATATATATATATATATATATATATTTATATATATATGTGTGTGTGGTGTGTGTGTGTGTGTGTGTGTAATGCGACCAGCGTAGTGGACTAAGGCGTCAAGAACTTAGCTAGCTGTCCGGGAGGTCGTCTAAATAACTCGTATCCCACCAAGGCAGGGTGACTCAAAAAGAAAAACAAAAGTTTATCTTTAAATTTAGTAATGTATACAGGTGAAGAGGTTATTAGTCTCTTGCTCCCGGCATTTTAGTCGCCTCTTACGACACGCATGACTTCCCCAAGTTTCAGTGGAAGTATTAATTTATAAGAACGGTGCTAAATATCAATATATGAACTATAGTCCTAGACTGAGGTAATCAGGTTTGATCCGAGGGGAAGATAACTCCAATTCCTTGAATCAAAATTCTTCACCAGCATCAAGGCATCCTCCTTGAAGAGTACGTTATTGTTAAATTACTCCTACTTTTCTGATGTTTTCATGAATTTACCACCACTGAGTTGTGCTGGATGGCGGGCTGTAACTGTGCTGATGATGGTGACATCACAAGTGATACAGTGATGAGTAATGATGTTAAGAGCACTGATGTTT